CAATTGTAGACCTAAGGGAGTAACAGGGGAAAAAACAACAAAACAACAACTAGAACAACACACAGTGGAACATCACACAGTAAATGGTCACTTATAAGCACAAAGGGGCTAACCCGAAAAATGCTGTTTTGAGAAAATCGAAGGTAAAGTTTTTGTCCCTTGTTCAGTTTCTTTGAAAGACAAGGAGAGTTTTCTCTATAAATAAACATATATATAAACACCATCAATGAAACCAAACTTCTCCTATAGGTAGGGCAATGTCCACTTTTGGTGTAGGTCAAGATTTCTGGAAACCCCCGAAATCTGGGTTAGCCCGCTTGTCCTTACAAGCGACCAAATAATCCTATCCTGTAACATAATTATTAAGGACCTCACAACACACAGAGGTAGTAAATTCCTGGTAGAAAAATAAGAATCATAAAAATATGAATCACTCAGAGACTTGAAAAATTAGTACATGTATTATGTATGATTATATAAGATTATAAGACTGTCAATAGACGAAACTCATTAAAGTAAAGAATCTTGCGAGACAGAACACAAGGATTAACCAAATATATAATAACTCAAAATAACAATTGAAAGGAAAATTGTCTGATTCAGAAAAAGACATACGGAACATGAATCTCGTATAAACTGGATATATTATTTGTGTTTATGCCCTTAGAGCATCACTGTACAGATTTATTGTGAAAGGAAAAAGGAGCCAAGAATACAACTTGGAACAACATTATATCTGTACTTAAGAAGAAACACTGATTGGGGGAGGAGGGGGGGGGTGGAATGGTCCAAAGTGGCCTACTTTTTTTCCTTTTGTCTGCAGCATTTCTGTATAAATATGTGTTGGAGATATTGAAGAATGGCACTCATACGTAATGAGAAAAGCCTAGGAGTCTCAAATATCAGCAAAGACTATAACATAAACTTCACTTGAACTCTCCTGAAGAAAAATCAAACATAAAAATAAATAAGCAAATTTAAAATATAAAATAAAGTTCACCGCCATCACAATTTAAAGGAACAAATAAAATGATACACTTAACTGTCCCAAAAGAGAAAACTCTTGACACAGCAGGAAATACACTGTATCAAACTACACAAACATTTTTTTAAAATGCTGCAACAATCACTATATCTTAAAGTACTTTTTAAAAATATTTAAAATGAAGAAACATTTTTTGGTTGTCAGACAGAGACTGCACACACAGAACATAGCATGCCACTGATATGTCATGAACATTTACGAAATGAAGGTTACAATATAGGCAAGGGCTGGCATTTCATATATAAGATTTTAAAAAGAAACGATAAAAAAGAATTTAAAAAAAAACAACCCTGAACTATCCCGTCAAAAAATACAAAAAGTAGAGAAATCTCAAATATCACAAAGCGGTCAAAAGATATAATAAAACCTATGTACAACATTATGATGTTTTGCTCCTATGAATGGTGGTCACTAAAGCAGGTGGCTGCAATGGCAAGATTTAAAAAAAACAAACAATTCTTCTTCTTCGGAATATTTAAAAAAAAAAAAAATGAACAAACTCAAAACCTTTTTTTGAACTTATAGCACAACACAAAATGGATAAGTAAAAATTAATTCATGTTGCAAGATTGCTGGACCTGTTGATATCAATACAACAAATTAAAGTTTCTTGTAGGAAAAAACACACATGGTACAATCATACCCCCTTCCCCCCCCCCTCCACCCACGTAGTTCCCCCCCCCCCCCCTCTTACAACTTACAGAAATAGTATAAATAGTGATTTAAAAATGCTGAAACACTCACTGCATTGTTGACCAAATGGAAAAATGTATGCTTCTTGTTTGTTTTAGTAAGAGTTTTACGGCACTTGCAACACAATATAACGTCATATAAGTGCCGAAGATTAGAGGTGTTACAAGAGAGTAACAAACACAGAAAAGAAAGAGGGGAGATAAAGACGACAGATTTTATATAGGAAAGAAGGAGCAAACACACCAGAGCACCCACCAACCACCCATTGTATGCTTCTGATGATGGCAATGCATGTATCGTGGACTATGCAAAGTACCGTTACCAGAAACAACACAACTGAACGCAGTGGACACAAAGAGAAAGGACGCAGTCAAAGGGAGGAAATAAGAATGAGTGTTTTTCATAACGCACCAAAAACACTTCACCGAGACAAAAAAACATGAGATATATCTGAGACAAGAAAACATGAGATATCCGAGACAAAAAATCATGAGATATGTCGTAATCATCACCGTTGTTACGTAAACATGATGAGCACCGTTGTTAAAAGTTGGTGAAAAATATGACACTCAAGACTTAACTTTCTCCAGACTTACTAATATCGTACAACAATTTTTTGCCAACAACTGGCCATAAGTAGAAGGCGCTGCATCATATGCAAGAAGTCATGCAGAGGTTATTTTTCTTTTTTTTATAGTTGAGGGATTTACGGCACTCGCAACTGCATAAGGTCATATGAGCGCCAAAGGGTGGGAGTCAACAGAGAAGTCTTTACAGGGAATCAGACTTAGACTGCTCACCTCTCTAGCTTCAACAGCACAAGGTCTGCTTCGACTATTAAGGCACCCTAAAATAGCAGGTCACAAGAGAGTGACAAACATACAAAAGAAGTAGAGGAAAATGACAATAGTAAGGATCAGGAAAGAAAAAGCAGCAGTTCCCTGTTGTAGATCAGGCACAGTTATGAGCGTGACATGAGTCAGCCCATGTACAATTCTACTATGCTTGAACGAGAAATGTCCCCTCTTTGAGAATGGTCTAAAGACATGCAGAGGTTAAAAACCTAGAAACATGTACAGCCTCAACAGAAAAGTTATCAAATATCACTATGAGGTGACAACAGAAATACTCGATGAGACTTCAAGTAAAGAGGCTGCTCAAGAAAGGCACGGTTTATGCATAAACTAATGCAACCATAACTTGTGACAACATCAAAGATTGACGTCACAAGACCGGGACAGTGTGAGCGGTATAAACAGAGAGACCAATAACATGAGTAAAATCAAAACTAAAGTAAAGGTAAATGTGGCAAATAAAAAACGCCAGGAGATACAAATTTCTAACTACTCATAATTGTCTATAATTCCTAAATATACATTTTTCAATTTTCATCTGATTCACTATATTATTTGGTAGATGATGCTTTGAAAATAATTAATTAACAATTGTTATTGTGAAAAAATTAATCAAAATGTGCATCTATCAGTTCAGAGCTGGATTTCAAGATATGAAAGTTGGTAAACAGCCAAACAACCAAATTTAGGGACATTTTCATGACAAGTGTCTCTAATTTTCAGTGATAAAGAAACGTTCTTTATTTTTCCCAACCGAGAGGGTAACAGACAGAAGATGCATCCTATAAACAAATGTACAAATTTATTTATATATATATATATATATGCCGTATAAGAAAAATATTGCTACATATTCTGCATAAATAAAACGTCTCTAGCTTATAATAAAAAATGTTATACAGTACACCCTCAGTATAAAACCTCTGAGAACAAGAATGTAGCTGGTAGCAATGATCGCTATCCAGATACGCTGGATACGTGGCAACCACAGAATGCTCTACTACTGAGGAAATACAGTGGAGTCAACTAAACTGAAAGAAAAATAGAATCCCTCTGGTTTTCATCTTGAGTAATCTTTCTAAACTTTCAGACAGTAAAAGATCCTGTCAGCTTGTTAGTGTTTGAGCGCTTAATCAGCTGCTTGCTGTATTCTTCCCAGGAAGCTGACAATGTTTCTGAGTGTTCTATGGTCTGCTGGGGTAAAAATATATATATATAGTGCAAAGCGCAAAGAGCTTGCTGTAGAGCGGGTTATGTGCTATAAAAATGCTATTTATTATATTATTATTATTAAACTGAAAACACAGTGAAACCATACAAAATTTTGCAGTCCCACAGATTTCCATTTTAGTAGACTCCGCTGTAGTAAATGAATAATTATCGGTAATAATATGCGATAAAATTATGTTTTGCGATATTGCGGAACAAACAAAATCTTGTCATTCTGAGACTTGTGCTCTGGATGGACCTGTAAAAAAGGCAAACCCCTAAAAACCTCGTTAAGTAGCTATAGCCAGTGGCAAGAACAGAAATCAACACATTTCAACTAAAAAGCTGAACCAAAGCCCATTCCAACAAAAGATGGTAAACATACGGTTCAACCTGCTTTAACGGACACATATACAATACAATGGTGCGTACAAATGATCACTTCCCCTTTTCCCCATGCATTTTATTTTACCACATGTCTAAGACAATCACTTTTCTCCTTCCTGGTGGGTAGCCATCTTGGACTATTTCGACCATACATTGTACATCCTCACCTCCATTCAATTGCAAAACATTCTAAACACGACTTGAAGAGTGAAAGGACACATACTGGTAGGATCAACAACTTATAAAAGCAATCTACGTTAAGAAGTCTTTTGTGGTGTGAAGCTCGAAACTTATAATCCCGTAACATATCAATATCATGTGGGAGCTCTATAACATAATGCGGTCATGAGCATTTGTAGTCAGATACAAGGTATGAGTATTTGTTACTTTGAGGAAAAATTGAAAGTAAAACCTGAACCAGGCGCGAGCTGACACACTGGAATGTTCGCAGATGATGACTCGCTTCTCTTTTATCACAATGCAGCCGGCATGAATATGATGACTAAAACAACACAGCTCTAGACAAAAAAGTCACTGACGTTTGCTCCTTGTACAAACAACACAATGAAATGTCCTACAAACTCTCAGTGTAAAACAAACAGCTTAAGGCTTTCATCAAAGTGAAAGTTACCATGCAACTAGCTATACAATCGGTAATCTTGTCAGCATTCTTATATTAAGAACATGATAAAACCTTTGGAATATGCTGTTACTCATAAAAGCTGTCATGCTACAGATCAATAATTCACCTGACCTAATTGCATTTTAAAGAATCACATTGATGTGCTGCATAGTGCTCACTAAACACTTCCTTTCTGAGCATATTTTTGCCAATGAGCGAAAGATCCCAGGTGAAATGTGACCAATTTAGCACTTTTTCTTTGCATTCTCTTTGATTGTCCTCACTTTCACATATGCATGGTAATAAAAATTGGAAAATAAAACAATCATGGTGACGCCATAGAACATGCTGTAGACACAGAAGTGATGGTAGCGGTGTCCGTAAAATGCAATGATGAATCCAATGATGAACTGAAGTATCTGGATCTGAGTCATCTGCTTCTTCCACTTCGGGGGGCTGTTGATGAAACAGGTTGAGACATGATACACTTCAATCAATGTAATGTTCCCAGAGTTAAAAAAATGGCGTCATGTGTCCTCTTGCTTTTTTTTATTTTCGTAAGAGTTTTACAGCACTTGAAACACAATAAGGTCATATAAGTGCCGGAGATTAGAGGTGTTACAAGGGAGTAACAAACACAAAAAAGAAGAAGGGGAAATAAAGATGATAGATGTCTGATAGGAAAGAGGGAGCAAACCACACCAGAGCACCCGCCAACCACCCACGTGTGTCCTCTTGCTAAGGCAACACAAAAGATAAATAGAACAGTGAAATCTGCCCTAACGACCACCTTGCCAAGAAAATCACCTGTACAAATGACCCATTCCATCAAGTTTCTTTTTCTTCAATATTTTAATGACACTGTCCAAGGTATTCACCTGTCAAAGACAACCATTTTTTTTCTCAACAAGAGGTGGCTGTCTCCGACAATTTTGACTGTAATAAATTGCACTATATTAAAACAAAACTTTTTTTAGTAAGGTTTTACGGCGCTCGCAGCTGCTTTTAGTTTTTTAGTTTTAGTAGAGTTTTTTACCGTGCTGCATAAGGTCATAGGAGCACCAAGGGGTGGGTGTCAACAGAGAAGTCCTTACAGGGAATCAGGCTTACTCTGCTCACCTCTCTAGCTTCAACAGCACAAAGTCTGCTTTGACTATCAAGTCACCCACGAAATAGCGGGTCACAAGATTGAGACAAACATACAAAAAAAGTAGAGAAAAAATGACAATAGTAAGGATTAGGAAAGAAAAAGCAGCAGTGCAGGCACAGTTATGAGCATAACATTGATGAATCAGCCCATTTACAATTTTACTGAGCATAAGAAAGGTTAATATCCCTATCCCCCCTTTGGGAATGGCCTAAAGACTGCCGG